TAGCTCTCAACTGCCATGTTCTCTGGGGAGGTAAGAGATCGCTCAAGGCAATGTTGATGGAAGAGATCCTTCGCCATAATTTCATATCTCTATTACGACGAATATCCAAGATACTGTGCTGCTTTAAGCAGTAACCCAGCTTATAACAACTGGCAAAGAGCTTTTCAATTCTACTTAAATATTTACTACAAAAAGCACACTCCCAGACCTCAATAGCATATGTAAAAACTGAAAGGATCAAACTCTCAATAGAGTAGCCATAATAAATATATATTCTTCAAATGAACAACCTACTGCTAGCCTTACTAAGTAAATAATCAATATGAGTGTCCCAATTCACTGGCACTTGCTCAAAGGTAACACCCAATAGTTTCAGTTTTTCTTTCCTCCCTGTGATCTCGAGTGGTTCAGGAGGCGTCCTGAAAGTCTTTCCTCGTAAAAGAAGTTCCCATGTTGGCCACATGCATTTTTGGGTTAATTTTCTTGAGTCAATAAAAGCCTCTTGCATCCAAACGAAATACTAAATATCGAACGGAGCGTTCTTGGTTGTTCCCCAAAAAGACATTCAGAACTAAGAATCTAGTTTGATTGTCCTCATTCATCGCTGTGATATTTATTTATTTATAACAATCGCTGCACCATTCATTTATTTATAATAGATTATAATAACAATTAATCAATTCCTTTTGTAAGTGCGTTATTAATCAAATTTCTAGTCCTTCACATTGTCCATCAAGTCTCAACTGAGCTAAAACTCATAACACTCATGGTACATAATTACTTCAAGAATCTCTTACATGATTAAAAGATAAACGAGCGATCTCACGCTGAAAAGGGAGACACAACGGACATGTAGACGGTGAAAAAGATAGCATTAAGTCTATAGGAACAGCATGGATAAATTACAACCTAAGCCTAACCAGGAAACTGTATTCCTATATCTCTGATGACGAATCAAATGATGAATTGCATTTCCTTTTTTCGAGTTCTAAGAATATCTTATTGACAATACTTCCAAACGTTACTTTTCAATGTCATGCAATGAGACTCTTGTCTTAGGGTAGATGAGGACTAACGTAGTAGAACATGTAACCACCGTAAGGTACCTTACCCTGTTCCTGGACTATACACACTGACGCTGTCGGTCCCCTGACCGGTCTCTCTTTCAACGCGATATGTATGTCTTTGGCAAGAACAACATCATGGCCTGCATTGCAGTATCTTCTGATTGATGCTTTTAACGGAAACAGAAACCTGTCATACGTATCTTTTCCAGCCTGTGGCTCAGAATGATCGTACCTCACGAGTTTGATTCCCCGGTGATTTCCGACCTCTTGTGGGGATGACACCAGCTTACTACTGTGGTAGCAACCTGCTTCTTCAGATCTTAGAAAGGCGCTATTTACTCTTTGATTTTGCAACTTGACAGTGACGAACAGATTCTCAAGGACTGACAGCACTGAAAACCAGTCTTGTTTACAGCTGTCAAGAACATGAACGTAGCAGGTTACTTCAAGGCTTTCCTCTTGTCCTACAACAACACTACTCACATGCCTATTGATTCCCCTCCTTGCAAACCATTCTGCTTGCTTTCCCAGAACTTCATAGCTGTGAACTTCATTGCCCAGTCAACTACTATACATGCTTTATCTCCCTTTAAGGCATCAAGAATTTGCCGCTTGTACTGATCCTGGTTCTCTGCTCTCAGGATATGCCCTTTCCATTCAAAGATCTTAGAGGTGGCACTGTTTGCTTCATAAAGATGATCCTCCGCTTGAACCTTACCCAGCTGCTTTGTGTACTTGGCTAGTATAGTTCTCTATACTACCCAAGCTATGGGTAGTATAGTTCTCTATACTATGGGTAGTATAGTTCTCTACCCAAGCTATGGGTAGTATAGTTCTCTATACTACCCAAGCTTGGGTAGTATAGTTCTCTATACTACCCAAGCTATGTAGAGGATGCTTCTGATTGAAGCATCCTCTACATAGTTGTAGAGGATGCTTCAATCAGAAGTAGACGCGATTTGAGTGACAGCTGTACCTAAAGGATACGCGAATCACTGGAAGTCTGACGTCAAAGGGGAGGGTACTCAAAATGAAATAAAAGAAGCTCCATTTTTACAACTTAATCACACTCTTCAAACGGTAATTAAATACTGAAGAAAGTTCGATTTCATCCAATCAAACAGGTGATCTATCTCACTGGAAGGTGTCATTACAAGTCGCAGGATATACAAGAGAAGATAAACACGATCAAACCTTTCCTGGACACTCCATTCAAACGTAAAAGAAAGACTGTTAAATTCAGACAACATAGTGAGTACATATACACAAGAACTCTTTATACAAAACCTCATCACCTTTACGTTATAAAGCGAGTAGAAGAATTACAACGGCAAACTGGAGTTTTCACTAAAACACACCTTAGCTTACATTGATGAAATACTTGATACGATTTCTCACGAAGCCGACAGTGACACGCTACAGCGAATAATTGGCTGGAAAGACGACTAACCTCGAGACCCTGAGGGAGATTTGGATCTGGACGAAACACGAGAATCGATTGAATTAAGCAACACCATCATAAAGACTGTAGTAGAATACGCAAAATTTGCTTTGGAGCGTGATTCAACAGATTGAATTCCCAGACAGAAAAAGAGTGTTACATTTAATTTACTCTTGAACACTCCTTGGAGACGATATTTTTGTTCTCATTGTAGGAGAACTATAGATACTTTAACTTGTTTCGATAATTTAATTTGTTACAATTGTAAAGGTAAATTAGAAGAAGAGAAAGAAGAACCAATGGACACACCTTGACATCATGGTCGACAGGCGGCATTATATTGTAGACACCCCCAAGGTGGCCATTTTGGAAATAGAAAGTATTCTCGACATTATTTCATATGCGGGGGAAGATGATTTGAGGAGAATGATGCGTCATGCTCGTGCATACATGAAACCGCACAATTTTGATAAAGTAGTTCGAGATTCTAAAGAGACAGCTCCAAATCGTCAATTTAGTAAAGATGAAACGTTTCAACTACTTAGAAATGAAGTAATGAAATCCCTTTATAATTATGTGGAATGTATTTTCGATAGTCATGATTGGGATAAAGAGAATGATCTTTCAGAATAAACATCATTTGTTATTTTGTTCTCAATGAAGATGGATTGTGATTATGTGATGAAGGGGGAAAGAGTATCCTACAGATCACCTTATTGCCCACATCTATTGTATATTTTTACGGATACAGATGGCAAGAAAGGTAGATCATCTAACTTTTTGAAACAACTTCTCTTCAATGAAAATGAAGTTTCAGAGGAAGTGAGACATTACATCATCTCACACGTGGACGAAAACTTTTTTTTATTTTGTTTTTTAAAAATATTTCAATTAATCTGGAAGGATAGAAATAACATTCCCAATCCATATTATGGAGACCCTACCAGTCTCGAAAAACTCAGTCAATTTTGCGATGGAGTAGATGAAACTCTAACAAAAGAGGTACGCGGGTTGGCACACCCCATCACAGCAAGTATGCAGCTAAACCTTTTTACCCAATGGTACGACTTCAGATCACTCGGAGAGGAAATCAAAGAAATGGGATGGACATATGGGCAAATATATGCACTATATAGAGAATGGATAACACTCGCTTCCAAATCAGACCCCCACAATCCTTATGGAAAGTTACCAAATTATGAAAAATGGGGTGAAGGAAGGATACACTTGGCACGTCGTCTTTTCAAACACAACTTTAATAAATGAATGAAATTGTATTATTACAATTATTGAGCAATAAAGAAATGACAATCTATTCGTTCAAAAATGGTCATATACCATTGATATCCAAACACACTTAAAGGATCAAAATCAAAAAGATCATCTTCCCATTCGGGAAGATTCATAAAATAGATAAGAAAAGAAGAATGTATAATACAGCATGAACTATTAGTACGATCATGAAGAATGGAAATATTTTCAACTGACTGTGATACGACACCACGTACTAGTGAACAGAAATTATCATCATTTCTCACAATGACCAATACACTTCTTATTATTTCTTCCTCTAGTTTACGTCTAAGATAACAAAATAAATTAAAAAGTGAAGGACTAAATGAAGTCAATACTTCCTGAAAAAAATGAAAGCGAAAAAAAAGGTCTTATTCAATGTCATAATTGTCAAATATATAAAGCATAAGACGTCTAAAGTTTAGCAAGGGTATACGATTAGTCATCCCATCCTGAAAAGTTACAAACGAAAGAGATGTAAATGACCGGTTTCAGAAACATGATTTAGCAAAACAATATTAGTAAAATGATGGACTCTTTTTGTTCTCATCGTAAAAATTCGAGAGGTAATCACAGAAGGAGCAAGTAATAAATATAAAAGTTCTCTAAAGTGAATGCTTATGTTTGAACTTCTTAGTTGTAGAGATTCTCTAACCATCAACGACCAACAACTAGACACAATATAAAAACATTGATCATACGAGTGTGATCGTATATCATCTAACATATATTGAAAAATAGATTGGAGACTCTGAGAAAGGTTAGGAAAATACAGCAACATTCTTGCAGATATGGCATCTTCTTGAATCTACAAGGGGCAGATGTAAATTTTGGTACTGAGCATGAAACCATAAAAATGATAAAGGGGTGGAGAGTTTGTGGTACTACTAGTGTTCTCGCACGATAAGAATGGACGAATTAAATGTGGAAAAATAAATAGAAATAAAAGTTGCTTCATTAAAGTATTTGGATATGCTCTATAGTATCTATAAAATAGCATAATAAACTCATTGCAGAAACGAATTTCCATGTGTAGTTTATAAGAATGATTAAGCATAATTTTTATACAGCTGAGACCTTCACGAATTCCTCTTAAAATTATACTTTCTTGCCAGGAAATACATTCTACCATCTTAGAACATTCATGTAAACGAGGGACCTATAAGAATATAAAAACTTATGTTTTTAAACCATGGTAAGACTCTATGGCCTAATGGATAAGGCGTCTGACTACGGATCAGAAGATTCCAGGTTCAAGCCCTGGTAGAGTCTTCATTTTTAAAAGGTGAGCGAAAAAAATAACATCATGATTGTCCCCATTATGGCAACCAGTTAAACCCAAAAACTCGTATCCATGCGCTACTAAATAATCAATTGTTGGTTGACAATGGTTTGTTGCCATCATGGGGCAATATAGGACAAGATTACAAATGAAACTAACATCCGAAAGTATTAGAAATATCTCTTCTAACATTTCATTGTGTTGCATGAGAAGACAAAGAATTGTTCTAGGAGCCCTTCGAATAAGAGAAATAGAGAATTTTATTTCAGCAATTGTCCCATAAATAGCCCCCATATCACGACGGTTGATTACGAGTTGTATCTGCAAAAGACATTAAAGAAAAAAAAGGTATTTTCACTCCCGCTAGAAATACAAACTGGAATTCTAAAACTGAATGAAATAAAATACCGAATAACATCTGGTAAAAGTCGAAAAACAAATAAATCAACATGTGGTCGGCTAGCCTCATTAAACATCATTCTATAGTAAAAAGATAATGATCTCTTCCATCTCCTATATCTCCTGTTTAATGTTGGATTCATATAAACATGAATGGAATAGCTATCAGTTGACTGATGAACATTTACATCTATCAACCGCAATATCGTTTCAATAAGATTCATTAAAAAATCCATCATTCCTTGATGATGAAGCAAAAAGCAGGACATGATTATATGTCTATCTTCAAGACCCATCTAAAAAGAAAAATTAGGAATACTTTCTTACTTACTGAAAATAAATATGACTTGCTGAAGAATGAATAAATTCATTAAAAGTGTTCACATTAAAGAAAAATCGTAATGAAAAGAAATGAAGGACGGATGATGGAATTATCAGATACAAAACTAAGCGCACCTTATAATAAAAAAATGGTTCAAAAACAAGGAATTGAAGGGTATACATATTACCCTCACGAAAGTAAGTAGAGGCACATTCTAATACATATTTTACATCGGATAAACGTCTTTCGGTAAAAGGTGTAAAATTAGGGTCTCGTTGTTGGATGGGTCTGATTGCAATTTGGAACGTCCTTTGAAATGCTTGTGTCAACTACGATGAAACACATGAAAAAACTCCAATTAAAAAACGTTATATAGAAAATTATATCATATGAATGATTCGCGCTTACCTGAGTAATTCTATGCTCCAATGCTCCAGGGGCAGGTAAGGCTTCCAAGTCTTGAATCGCTTGTAGCCTCTGCTGTTCTCTTCTTTCACCTTCTGCAACTCGCGGTATCTCTGGGAGGTAAATACGATTTGGTGCTGGTGGAAATGGGGCACGTGGATTTTGTACTGTCGTCCACTCTCTTCTACAATTCCCACACGTTCGACTCGCTCGTCTGTGGGTCTGATAACAGGCAAAGTGTATCCTCTTCATACAGCAAGGTGTTGTTCTTGCTCGTCGCATGGTGATGGTTATTTCATCTTGGCATATAAAACATTTGTCATCTTGTCCATCGTGTGTGGGTAACAATCCGAGTATTCGTCTCGATCGCCTGGTAGTAGTGGTAGTAGTGGTGGGGTTGTTAACTGGAACGAAAGAATTTTGTCCTTGCAATCGACGGGATCTTCTTAGAGCCATTCAAGAGGTTGATTCAAGGATAACTTCAATGACGGCTCGCACAATGTCAGCAACGACATATGTTACCATCAAGTCACAAATCGTATCTGGGAGTTCATCATCACCATGACCTTTTTATATGATAAGAAGATACCAGATAATTATCAGATAATTACCATATATGGGTATATACCCCCCCATGCCCTACCCCCTCCTTATAAGGTAAAAAAGATAATGGTCTGTGCGGGTATAAAAAAACCTAATAAGGTAAAAAAAAAAAAAAAAGGGTAAAAAAGATAATGGTCTGCGGGTATAAAAGATTGGAGTTCACCGGTGGAAAATTATTCGTAAAATGGATCACTCTGCAAGTAAGAAGAGGAGGAGGAGGAAAACCAGTTTACGAATCACCCACCGTGTCAATCTACACAGAGGTTAGTAGAAAGTAGATTTCATATTCCAGTAAAAAGGAGTTCTCTATAATTATTTATTACATTTTTTATTTTAGGAGATCAGTAATATTATGGCTTTTAGGATACAGGATGAAATACGCTCTTTTTTACAAAGATATAATCAACCTCAACACGTACTGAATGTAAAATTAACTGCTCACCCTAGTATGTTCAATGTGGAATATATTAATACCATACTTTGTAAAGTACATGAGGGATTTCGTCATTTGTGGATTGTCATCGATGTAACGAGTAAGGAACAAGACGAACTCATGCACATTGTGAGAATTTGTGAAACGAATTGAAAAAGCTTTTATTTTTTACAATTTTTATAGTGATCGATTCTCTTTATAAAAAATGAAGCGGAAATCAGATGCTCTCTCGGATGATGATGATACTGGTGACGACTCGCTCATTGATTTTGTATCTGATGTTGATGATGATGGGGGTCAGTCGGGAGGAGCTTTATTCCATTTTAATTTCGAAAGAAGTGGATTTCCATCCCGATGGAAAAATGTAGTATTCAGCAAATTTAAGAGAAATACGCGAACCTTCATCCAGTGACGATGTTGGAAAAGAGATATCTGAAGCTCTCACAAGGTATGAACAATGATGGATCGCAAGTAATTGATTTTTTGTGATTCAAAAAAGCTAAAAAATGATTTTTTTAATTTTTTAGATCTATTCGTAACACTCTAAGGAGCGAGAATGTTCAAAATCATCACATGATGCATTTCAACCTTCAATCTGATGCATTTCCTCATGCATTTCAATCCATCACCCTACCAGTAGAAGAAGTGATGACTGGAACGGACAGGTTTGACAGTTACATGGTTGCATTAGCAAACAAGCTCAATTCTGGTGAAGCCTTCAATTCCTCCTCCTCTTTTAACGCCGACCTTACCATCATTCAATCACCGCAGAGAGGTGGTAAGTTTAAATTTGACTTGGGGAAGATCCCCATGGTGGATGTTTTGAAGAAAAAAAAGAGTGTCATCATGATAACAAATACAGATGAATTGTGCTGTGGAAGGGCAATAGTTATGGCACGAGCTAGAACACAAAAAGGGCAAAGCGTAGACAAACGTTGTAGATATGATGTAATTAGATGTAATGATAGTGTACAGAAACATCTTGCGGAAGAATTACATGAAAAAGCGGGTGTACCTTTTGGTCCTTGTGGGATAGAAGCTCTACGCAAATTTCAATCTATTTTATCGGACGAGTTTCAACGTAATCATGTACGGCATCATTCCGATATATGATTACGTTTGAGGGTCCAGAGTCGTCTCAAATTTTACGTCTATTACAAGTGAATGATCATTTTCACGTGTGGACATCCTATGCAGGATTCTTAGAGAGATCATATTTTTGTGACGATTGTAATCGAGGTTTCGATCATGATGAATTTCGTCATCATCCTTGCCAGGGTCGTCGATGTCCGGCTTGTAAATCAAAAAAATGTGGGCCGAAGAATGTCAAAGATACCCCGTTTCATCATTGTGGTACATGTAATCGTAAGTTTTATTCTATTCAGTGTGTTGCATTTCACAATGACGACGGAGTGTGTGCAAAGCTACATAGGTGCGGACTTTGTTGTAAAGAGATTCATTTAGATTTAATGAAGAAACATGTTTGTTTTCACGGTACCTGTCATGTGTGCAAAGAGGAAGTGTTTTTGCGAGAGCATAAGTGTTTCATTCAGAAAGTCAATCCAAATGATGATAAAGAGGAAGAGGATAAAGAGGAAGTGATGATAAGATAATTAAAAAAGATGATAAAGAGGAAGTGTTTTTGCGAGAGCATAAGTGTTTCATTCAGAAAGTCAATCCAAATGATGATAAAGAGGAAGAGGATAAAGAGGAAGTGATGATAAGATAATTAAAAAAGATGATAAAGAGGAAGTGTTTTTGCGAGAGCATAAGTGTTTCATTCAGAAAGTCAATCCAAAAGATGATAAATTGCGAAAAAAAGACAAGAAAACTCTTGAGAGACATCGAAAAGTGAGACCGGACGCTTCTTATTATGTGGAACCCCCCATTTTTGTTTATGCTGATTTTGAAGCGCGCCTTTCTGACGATAAGACACAAATGCCGATTTTGGTGTGCGCCTTAACATCAGAATCAAACGGTTTGTTCAGTTTTATGGAGAGGAATGTACGCGAGATTTTCTTGATTATCTTACCACACTCACTATAGACCAATACGGTGATTCTAGAGAGGTGATTTCTATCTTTCATAACCTGAAAGGATATGATTCCGTGTTTTTACAACATCAAATCTTAATCGAGGGGAGGCGTATGATGGATGTCGTTTCGGTGGGAACCAAAGTGTTATCCTTTCGTGTCGGGGAGATCACCTTTAAGGATTCTTTTTGTTTTTTACCTATGAGCCTTTCTTCATTTACATCTACCTTTGGTCTGTCGGAGGTGAAAAAAAGGTTTTTTCCTCATTTGTTTCATACTAAGAAAAATGAATCTTATGACGGACAAATCCCTGACGAATCATTTTATGATCCCGATGGTATGTCATCTAAAACAAAAGAGGAATTTTTAGAGTGGCATCGAGCGCAAGTAGAAACGAATGGTCGTTTTTTTTTGAAGGAAGAATTGATAACGTACTGTCAATCGGACGTGAAACTTTTAAAAGAGGGATGTATGAAATTTGTGAATGAATTTCGCTCCATCGCTGGATTTGATCCATTTGAGAAATGTATTACAATTGCCTCGGCTTGTAACAGATACTGGAGGAAATGCCATTCACCATCTCGATGTGTAGCTGTTGAACCTATAAATGGTTGGGAAGGGGGAAAAGTGAATCATTCAAAAGCATCGCATGAGTGGCTTCATTGGTGCGAGTATCAATTGAAGTCACCCACGCCTAGAATATTACATGTTAGAAATGGCGGTGAACAGAGTATAATAGCTAATCCATTTTCCTACCACGTGGATGGATTGGATTCCACAACCAACACTGTGTAT